TGGGCACATTGTAGCCCCATTTTAGGTATTCCAAACAGTTATAGACAGAAGACAGACTTACAAGCTTTCTATGGTGATACTTTTGGCCATTCCTATCTCTCCTCCTCCAGTGTCTTGGAAGGCAACAACTACTTGGCCAACTGAGTGGAAGAGATTCCATATTTGTGCTGATTCCAAAGAGAGGTGACCCAACAGAATGTGGAAATCATCAGGCAGTATCATTAATATGCATTCAAGCAAATTGTCACTAAAGATAATGTGAAAATAAGTGTGACTCTACATTGATAGAGAACTTCAGAGGTTCAGGTCGGAGTCAAAGGGGACGTAGAATGAGGAATGTCATTGTAGACGTCTGATGAATCTTGGCCGAAAGTAGAGAATACCAAAAAGATGTTTGTTGTTAAGTGCCATCGAGTCAATTCCCACCCATAGCGACCCTGTATAGGGTTTCTGAGGAGCAGCTGGTGAGCTGGAATTGCCGACCTTGCAGTTCAAATGGCTTTACAGTCTGGCTCATTAACCCACAGTACCATACCAGGACTCCAGAAAGATGTTTACTTGTGCTTCATTGAATACAAAAAGGTTTTCGATTGTATGGATCATGACAAGCTAAGAACAACATTTTGGAGAATGTATTATGGAACACTTAATTGTGCTCATGAGGAACCTGTACATAGACCACGAGGCAGTCATTTGAACAGAACACGGGAAGACCAAATGCTTTAAAATTAGAAAAGGAATGTGCTAGGGTTGTATTCTTTTACCATATTTATTCAATCTGTATGCTGAGCAAATAATCTGAGAAGCTGGATTTTATGAAGAAAAACATGGCATCTGGATTAGAGAAATACTCATTAACAACCTGTGATATGTAGATGATACAGTCTTGCTTGCTGAAAGCAAAGAGGACTTAAATACTTATTGGTGAAAACCAGAGATGACTGCATTTGGTATGGGTTACGTCCTATCCCCAAATCCTCACCCCTGGACCAATAAACAACATCAATACAGATGGAGAAAAGATTGAAGTTGTCAAAGTCTTAATTTTACTCTGATCAGCCATCAACACTCATGGAAACAGCAATCAAGAAATCAAAGGATGTATTAGATTAGGCAAATCTGCTACACAGGACCTATTTAAAGTGTTGAAGAGCAATGATGTCAGTTTGTGGATTACGGTACACCTGACCAAGTCATGATAATTTCAGTAACCTTATATGTATGTTAAATTGGACTGTGAATAAGGACGA